CACGCCGACGGGCTCCTGCCTGCAAGTGCTAACGGCCTCGTCCTCTCTCTCTCTGTCACGGCAGCCTAACCAACATGTCCTCATTAGCGATTCCAGGCGGGCGGCACAGGCCAGTCCGTTACTCACTTCGCCGGCGGTCCGCGCGCTACCCCGCGACGGGGCTACTTTCGACGGCCGGCCGCGGTACGGCGAACGCTCGTGCTTGATCGCGGTACGCACCAAATCAATAATATATTTACATAAAAGTGAATACTGGCGTTTGGCGCCATCATGCCTGAAAAAATAACTGTGGAAGTACGATGTCACGTGACCGACCCAGCGAGATCTCGCGATCTCGCCCGCTCACGGTTCACGTAATCTTATGAGATTGGCAGCCGGCAGGTGCGTTTGGGGCCGCGTGCCCGTCACCCGCGCCACCTGTCGCCTGGCAAATGCACCTGTCTCGCGAATACGGAACTTGAATTTCGCCAACTTCTAGAACGATGTCGAGTTCCTCTACGTTATTTCTTTCGTAGAAAGATCTCTCTCTCTCTCTCTCTCTCTCTTCTCTCTCATTATCTGTTTCTGCCAATTAGATTAATTTTAATCTCGATATAATTTATCTTCTTCATTTTTCTATTTTATCTTTTTTCAATGCTAAAAATTAGAAAAAGATGAAGATGAGTTAAATCTTAGTGCTCAAACATAATGAAAGGAATAAGGAATAAAGAATTAAATGGATAGGAATTTAGAAATAGACTATTAAATTTTGATGTAGCAGATTGTATAGAAAATCAGAATATGTGTAATTTAATATATAATCAAGAAATATTATTCTTTCATTGATCAAATAATTTTTTATTCTTAATTCGTTATTATTATTATTTAATAATATATTTAATAATATATTTATTTTTAATTTCTTATTCCTATTTATTGTTTTTATTAATATGTATATCTAGATATAAAAGTTCAGACATAATGAACGGAAATAAAAAGTAAAAAATTAAATATAAAGAATTATGAGAAATATACAGAAAATTATTTACATTCCATGAAAAAGCACTTTATTACTTGATCGTGTTTCGAAGTGAATTTCTTATATACTGAATTTAATTCCCTATTCATAATTTCATATTTTTAATTTCTTGTTTCTTATTTTTTTTCATTATGCCAGAGTTATTACTTAATATTTTAAATTTTTTATTACACATTTTCGATCAAAACTGATTTCATCGAAGCGAACAAAACAACAATTAAATATTTTGCATCGATATCTAGTTTCTCTTCATAGAAAGTTAACGCTGATTGGCTGCAGCAGGGGGACCACATATTATTTTCTAACAGTTTACAGTTGAACTTCTTAAAAGTTGCCGCATTCATGCCATTCGTGCTTTGTGCATCAGTGCATTTGTGCATTTTTTATATATAATATATATATATATATATATATATATCATCATACAAGTTATTTTCGTCGTCACCAGTGCAACAGTTATCAGATTG